CATACACTGCAGGGTAGCACATACACTGCAGGGTAGCACATACACTGCAGGGTAGCACATACACTGCAGGGTAGCACATACACTGCAGGGTAGCATATACACTGCAGGGTAGCACATACACTGCAGGGTAGCACATACACTGCAGGGTAGCATATACACTGCAGGGTTAGCACATACACTGCAAGGTAGCACATACACTGCAGGGTAGCATATACACTGCAGGGTAGCACATACACTGCAGGGTAGCATATACACTGCAGGGTAGCACATACACTGCAAGGTAGCACATACACTGCAGGGTAGCATATACACTGCAGGGTAGCACATACACTGCAGGGTAGCATATACACTGCAGGGTAGCACATACACTGCAGGGTAGCATATACACTGCAGGGTAGCACATACACTGCAAGGTAGCACATACACTGCAGGGTAGCACATACACTGCAGGGTATCACATACACTGCAGGGTAGCACATACACTGCAGGGTAGTACATACACTGCAGGGTATCACATACACTGCAGGGTAGTACATACACTGCAGATTAGCACATACACTGCAGGGTAGTACATAAACTGCAGGGTAGTACATACACTGCAGGGTAGCACATACACTGCAGGGTAGTACATACACTGCAGGGTAGTACATACACTGCAGGGTAGCACATACACTGCAGGGTATCACATACACTGCAGGGTATCACATACACTGCAGGGTAGTACATACACTGCAGGGTATCACATACACTGCAGGGTAGTACATACACTGCAGAGTAGCACATACACTGCAGGGTAGTACATACACTGCAGGGTAGTACATACACTGCAGGGTAGCACATACACTGCAGGGTAGCACATACACTGCAGGGTATCACATACACTGCAGGGTAGTACATACACTGCAGGGTAGTACATACACTGCAGGGTAGCACATACACTGCAGGGTAGTACATACACTGCAGGGTAGTACATACACTGCAGGGTAGTACATACACTGCAGAGTAGCACATACACTGCAGGGTAGTACATACACTGCAGGGTAGTACATACACTGCAGAGTAGCACATACACTGCAGGGTAGTACATAAACTGCAGGGTAGTACATACACTGCAGAGTAGCACATACACTGCAGGAAGCACATACACTATAGGGTAGTACATACACTGCAGGGTAGTACATACACTGCAGGAAGCACATACACTACAGGGTAGTACATACACTGCAGAGTAGCACATACACTGCAGGAAGCACATACACTACAGGGTAGTACATACACTGCAGGGGAGCACATACACTGCAGGGTAGCACATACGCTGCAGGGTAGCACATACACTGCAGGGTAGCACATACACTGCAGGGTAGTACATACACTGCAGGGTAGCACATACACTGCAGGGTAGCACATACACTGCAGGGGAGTACATTCACTGCAGAGTAGCACATACACTGCAGGGTAGCACATACACTGCAGGGGAGTACATACACTGCAGAGTAGCACATGCACTGCAGGGTAGCACATACACTGTAGGGTTGCACATACACTGCAGGGTAGCACATACACTGCAGGGTAGTACATACACTGCAGGGTAGCACATACACTGCAGGGTAGCACATACACTGCAGGGTAGCACATACACTGCAGGGTAGCACATACACTGCACGGTAGCACATACACTGCAGGGTAGCACATACACTGCAGGGTAGCACATACACTGCAGGGTAGCACATACACTGCAGGGTAGCACATACACTGCAGGGTAGCACATACACTGCAGGGTAGCACATACACTGCAGGGTAGTGCATACACTGCAGGGTAGCACATACACTGCAGGGTAGCACATACACTGCAGGGTAGAACTCTCAGGAAGGTTACGACTATCAGGAAGGTTAGGATTCTCAGGAAGGTTAGAACTCTCAGGAAGGTTAGGACTCTCAGGAAGGTTAGGACTCTCAGGAAGGCTAGAACTCTCAGGAAGGTTACGACTATCAGGAAGGTTAGGACTCTCAGGAAGGCTAGAACTCTCAGGAAGGTTACGACTATCAGGAAGGTTAGGACTCTCAGGAAGGCTAGAACTCTCAGGAAGGTTAGGACTCTCAGGAAGGTTAGGACTCTCAGGAAGGCTAGAACTCTCAAGAAGGTTAGGACTCTCAGGAAGGTTAGAACTCTCAGGAAGGTTAGAACTCTCAGGAAGGTTAGGACTCTCAGGAAGGCTAGAACTCTCAGGAAGGTTAGGACTCTCAGGAAGGTTAGAACTCTCAGGAAGGTTAGGACTCTCAGGAAGGTTAGGACTCTCAGGAAGGTTAGGACTCTCAGGAAGGTTAGGACTCTCAGGAAGGTTAGAACTCTCAGGAAGGTTAGAACTCTCATGAAGGTTAGGACTCTCAGGAAGGTTAGGACTCTCAGGAAGGTTAGGACTCTCAGGAAGGTTAGGACTCTCAGGAAGGTTAGGACTCTCAGGAAGGTTAGAACTCTCAGGAAGGTTAGGACTCTCAGGAAGGTTAGGACTCTGAGGAAGTTTGGAACTCTCAGGAAGGTTAGGACTATCAGGAAGGTTATAACTCTCAGGAAGGTTAGGACTCTCAGGAAGGTTAGAACTCTCAGGAAGGTTAGAACTCTCAGGAAGGTTAGAACTCACAGGAAGGTTAGAACTCTCAGGAAGGTTAGAACTCTCAGGAAGGTTAGGACTCTCAGGAAGGTTAGAACTCTCAGGAAGGTTAGGACTCTCAGGAAGGTTAGAACTCTCAGGAAGGTTAGGACTCTCAGGAAGGTTAGGACTCTGAGGAAGTTTGGAACTCTCAGGAAGGTTAGGACTATAAGGAAGGTTAGAACTCTCAGGAAGGTTAGGACTCTCAGGAAGGTTAGGACTCTCAGGAAGGTTAGGACTCTCAGGAAGATTAGGACTCTCAGGAAGGTTAGAACTCTCAGGAAAGTTAGGAATATCAGGAAGGTTAGAACTCTTAGGAAGGTTAGAACTCTCAGGAAGGTTAGAACTCTCAGGAAGGTTAGAACACTCAGGAAGGTCAGGACTCTCAGGAAGGTTAGGATTCTCAGGAAGGCTAGAACTCTCAGGAAGGTTAGGACTCTCAGGAAGGTTAGGACTCTCTGGAAGGCTAGAACTCTCAGGAAGGTTAGGACTCTCAGGAAGGTTAGGACTCTCAGGAAGGCTAGAACTCTCAAGAAGGTTAGGACTCTCAGGAAGGTTAGAGCTCTCAGGAAGGTTAGAACTCTCAGGAAGGTTAGGACTCTCAGGAAGGCTAGAACTCTCAGGAAGGTTAGGATTCTCAGGAAGGTTAGAACTCTCAGGAAGGTTAGGACTCTCAGGAAGGTTAGGACTCTCAGGAAGGCTAGAACTCTCAGGAAGGTTAGGACTCTCAGGAAGGTTAGAACTCTCAGGAAGGTTAGAACTCTCAGGAAGGTTAGGACTCTCAGGAAGGCTAGAACTCTCAGGAAGGTTAGGACTCTCAGGAAGGTTACGACTCTCAGGAAGGTTACGACTCTCAGGAAGGTTAGGACTCTCTGGAAGGTTAGGACTCTCAGGAAGGTTAGGACTCTCAGGAAGGTTAGGACTCTCAGGAAGGTTAGAACTCTCAGGAAGGTTAGAACTCTCAGGAAGGTTAGGACTCTCAGGAAGGCTAGAACTCTCAGGAAGGTTAGGACTCTCAGGAAGGTTAGGACTCTCAGGAAGGTTAGGACTCTCAGGAAGGTTAAGACTCTCAGGAAGGCTAGGACTCTCAGGAAGGTTAGGACTCTCAGGAAGGTTAGGACTCTCAGGAAGGTTAGGACTCTCAGGAAGGTTAGAACTCTCAGGAAGGTTAGAACTCTCAGGAAGGTTAGAGGACTCTCAGGAAGGCTAGAACTCTCAGGAAGGTTAGGACTCTCAGGAAGGTTAGGACTCTCAGGAAGGTTAGGACTCTCAGGAAGGTTAAGACTCTCAGGAAGGCTAGGACTCTCAGGAAGGTTAGGACTCTCAGGAAGGTTAGGACTCTCAGGAAGGTTAGGACTCACAGGAAGCTTAGGACTCTCAGGAAGGTTAGGACTCTCAGGAAGGTTAGGGCTCTCAGGAAGGTTAGGACTCTCAGGAAGGTTAGGACTCTCAGGAAGGTTAGGACTCTCAGGAAGGTTAGAACTCTCAGGAAGGTTAGAACTCTCAGGAAGGTTAGGACTCTCAGGAAGGTTAGGACTCTCAGGAAGGTTAGGACTCTCAAGAAGGCTATGACTCTCAGGAAGGTTAGGACTCTCAGGAAGGTTAGGACTTACAGGAAGCTTAGGACTCTCAGGAAGGTTAGGACTCTCGGGAAGGTTAGGACTCTCAGGAAGGTTAGGACTCACAGGAAGCTTAGGACTCTCAGGAAGGTTAGGACTCTCAGGAAGGTTAGGACTCTCAGGAAGGTTAGGACTCACAGGAAGCTTAGGACTCTCAGGAAGGTTAGGACTCTCAGGAAGGTTAGGACTCTCAGGAAGGTTTAGGGCTCTCAGGAAGGTTAGGACTCACAGGAAGCTTAGGACTCTCAGGAAGGTTAGGACTCTCAGGAAGGTTAGGACTCTCAGGAAGGTTAGGACTCACAGGAAGCTTAGGACTCTCAGGAAGGTTAGGACTCTCAGGAAGGTTAGGACTCTCAGGAAGGTTAGGGCTCTCAGGAAGGTTAGGACTCACAGGAAGCTTAGGACTCTCAGGAAGGTTAGGACTCTCAGGAAGGTTAGAGCTCTCAGGAAGGTTAGGGCTCTCAGGAAGGTTAGGACTCTCAGGAAGGTTAGGGCTCTCAGGAAGGTTAGGACTCTCAGAAAGGTTAGGACTCTCAGGAAGGTTAGGACTCTCAGGAAGGTTAGGACTCTCAGGAAGGTTAGAACTCTCAGGAAGGTTAGAACTCTCAGGAAGGTTAGGACTCTCAGGAAGGTTAGGACTCTCAGGAAGGTTAGGACTCTCAGGAAGGTTAGAACTCTCAGGAAGGTTAGAACTCTCAGGAAGGTTAGGACTCTCAGGAAGGTTAGGACTCACCTCAGCTTGGGATGCTTGACAAACATAAAAATCAGTGCACCATTGCCCACCACCCCAGTGACGAAGATCAGGGCGAAGACTATAGGCACCAGGTACGTCTCCGGCCTCTGGGAGTACGGTGTGTACTCCGTCAGGTTCCTGCCCACCTCCTCCGTCGCCGCCTCCGTCGCGTTG